TCCCCACCTTCCTGCCCCTGTTGGTAAGTTTCCTTTTTCTCAGATATTGCTTCCTTGGCGCCCTCAAGTTCCTCCAGCTCCGACACTTCTCCCCAAGCTGCCATGTCCCCCCTGGCCGGCGACACAGTTTCTATGCATTCTCCTTCCCCTTCAGCCTCACTCCCAGCCTCTTCCTCCTTGGACCTCCCTGTTTCATTTTGGGCCCTTCTTTCACTCTCAGTCTCATGCTTTACCTCCCCTGCGCCCCCCTGGCCTTCGCTGGCTGCCTTCCCTACAGCCTCCTCTTCTTGGGTCACAGCCTCCTTTCCCTCTGAGCCTCTGTCCCTCCAGCTCTCCTCTTCAGGAGATCTTGCATCAGTTATGACTCGTGCTACTCTCATCCTCTCTGTCACTTTCCCCTCTTCCTTAGATGCTAGCCCTTCTCCTTTATCGCCTGTCTCCTCCCCATCCCAACGGAGCCCTGGGACCTCTCTGACCTTGGACAATTCTGCCACTTCAACCAAAGCTCGAGGGGTTGATGTGGCATTGACCACTACCCATCCCCTGCCCAGAGCTGCCCCAGCTTCCTCCTCCTCCTCTTCCTCCTCCTTCTCCTTCCTTGGTCTGGGCTCCTCTGCTCCTGCGTCTGGCCCGGCTTTCTTGGGCTCTGGTACCACCTCCCCCTCAAAGGCTTCTCTCCTCTTCAGCTGCTCTCCCTCAGGTGCATCATGCTTGGACTCCCCCTCCATCTCCAGGGCTGCTGTTTCCTCTGCCAACAAGTCCCCATCTGGAGTTACAAAAATAATTGAAGCATTATGTGAGAGGTGTGTGGTCGCTGCAGTTCTATCAGATGCTATTTTGATGGAAATGGAGGGCTGGATTTTTTGTTTGCTACAGTCTTTCATCAAAAATAATCCAGAACTCCTGGAGAGGGAGATTGGGAGGGGGGTGCTGAAGCCAGCTTGAACAAACTTGAGAGAGCTGATTGTTAAATTGTCAGTGTGAGCATTTACACCTCAGAAATTGGCAAGTGCTACAAACCAGGACTTGACTCAGTGTTTATGAAAGTGTTAGAGGAAATGCTAATAATTGCAGATTGAACTAAAAAAAAAATGTTGTGTGTACTACTCTGCCCCCAAAAAGCCAGTTGTTAAACATTCACCAGCACACCCCTGCAAAAGGCCTTTGTTTTTCATGCCTGTCCATCTAAGCCCATTTTGCTAGCAACACATTCATGCAGCTGGGTTAGGAGAGGCAGTCAGGGGTGGTGGAAAGGGAATTGAGTAGAAAAAGTAGAGTGCCAGTTATAGGGCTGGCAGGAAGATGACAATACCTGGATTCAAATCTCACTTCATGCAACTAATTATGTGCGCTTGGATGAGCCACTTCACCTCTGTCTGCTTGAGTTTCCTCATCTGTAACACGCTATCATAATCTCCATTTTACAGATAAAGAAACTGAGGCAGACAGAGGTGAAGTGACTTACCCAGGGCCACAAATGTATTCATTGTTGAGGTAGGAGGGTTATGGAGTTCTATTATCTCAGATCACCAGGTGGGAGCGACCTTAGAAGTCTTCAGCTCTGCCCCCTCACTTTTGACATGGCAAGAAAGATGACTTGCTTAGGTCACCCCGATAACAAGTGGCAGGATTCTAATCCAGAACCTCTAACTCCAAATTCATTATTCTCTCACTGAACCACTTTGGGTAGAAATCACTTAGCCTCTCAGCCCCAGCCTCCACACTTGTAAAATGGGGGTGATAGTAACGGTACTACCTGTCTAAATGAGATAATACAAGTAAAATATTTTGTAAACGTTAGAGCCGCATATGAACGCCAGCTATCATTATCATGTAACTAGGGCACATGGTCTGAATTTGAAGTCAGACAGATGTGAGTCCAAATTCAGCTTCAGACACTTACCGGCTTAACCTTGCTTGGCCTCGATGTTCTTACCTCTCAAATGGGGATAATGATGGCACCTGCCCTCAGAAGAACCACAGGAGGATCAAAGACACTGATGTCCCACTGATGTTTGCAAAGCACATCCCATGTTATTTTCTTTGACCTTCACAAACAACCCTGGGAGGCAGGTGCTCTTATTATCCTCATTTTACAGATGAGGAAACTGAGGCAGACAGCAGTTAAAGGAAGGGAAAAGAACAGGCATTTATTAAGCACCTGCTGTTTGTCAGGCTATGTACTTTACAAATATTATCTCATTTGATCCTCACAATAATCCTGGGAAGTAGGTCCTATTATCAGCCTTATTTTTCATGAGGAAACTGAAGCCGACAGAGGTTAAAGGAAGAGAAATGAATAAGCGTTTATTAAGTACCTAATACTAGATGGTACAGTGGATACAGCACCAGGCCTGAAGTCAGGAAGACCTGAGTTCAAATTTGGCCTCAGACACTTACTAGCTGTGGGACCTTGACCAAGTCACTTACCCCTGTTTGCCTCTGTTTCCTCATCTATAAAATGAACTGGAGAAGGAAATGGCTAATCACTCCATTATCTACCTCAAGAAAATCCCAAATGGGGTCATGAAGAGTCAGACACGACTGAACAACAAATGTGCCGGGCACTGTGTTAAGTGCTTTACAAATATCGTTTCATTTGATCCTCACAACAACCCTAGGAGAAAGGTGGTATTATTACCCCCAATCTATGGTTGAAAAAACCGAGGCAAACAGAGATGAAGTAACTTGCCCACCGTCACACAGCTAGTAGGTGTCTGAAGTAGGCCTTTCAGTGGGGTTTTCTTGACTCCCTTCAAGAGCGGTGCTCTCGTCTCAATGCCACCTAACTGCAATATTGAAAGTAGAGCACTTTACAACATCAATTCGAGCTATTATTATTTTAAGGTTGTTATGCTTGTAATGTGCTTGGCAAAATTAAAGTGCTATATTTATCAATCATTGTTATTTTAAAGTGTAAATCAATATTTAAAATGTCCATCATGATCCCCCTCCCAGTTATTATTACCCTCATTTAAAAAAGACAGAAACGAAGGCCCAAGAGGATACACGGTTTTCCCCTGGTCTTACAGCTACTAAGCATCAGGAGAAGGGTTGATTGGACTCAGGTGTTCCTGGTTCTGAGTCAAGCCCCACTAGCCACTGCACCACACTGCCTCTTAAATATACTGCTGGAAGAGAAGAACGCCTTTTCTCAATAAGCTCCAGGGTCTCCATATGAACTCCATGATCAGATCTAAACTCCCCTCTCTGCCGTTTAAAGTCCTTCACGATCTAACCTCCATCTACCTCTTCAGTCTGAGGAAACAGTCCTCCCTTCACAGTCCCCTCCAGGCCAACTGGCCTCCTGCCTGTTCCTGGAGCTGTCCTTGGTCCTGGCTTTCCACCATGCTGTCCTTCATGCCTCAGCCAAGGCCTTTTCTGATTCTCCCAGTGGTTAGTACTTCTCTTCCCCTTCCCATGTACCTATTTCCATATACTTATCAATGTGCATGTTATATACATGTCATGTACAGACTTAGGTGTATAAATCTCCTCTGATAGAATGGAAGCTTCTTGAGGGCAGGAGATGTTTCACTTCTGTCCTTGTGTCCTTAGCACTTAGCACAGTGCTTGGCACATAGATGCTTAATAAATCCTTTCTGATAGATTGTGTGATGTTTTGGGATTAGCCTATGTGCCAAGAGGACACGGCTTACCTTACATCTGTAATTAAGCTAATGATAGGATTAAAAAACAAACACACTTAGGTAAGAGATTTAGTCTTCAGTGGAAAAGCAACTGGTGACAACAAGCCCAAACTCTATCTTCAGCTATTCAAATTTTAACTAAAATATGTTTAAAAATGTCATTTTCAAACATTCCCTTGCAAGTCCTTTATTTTGCTAAGCTGGCTCCCAAATTTAGAAG